ATTACCTTGGACTACGGTAATTGACTTCATGTTCTTATCAACATGTAAGTTTGCATGAGGCTTGCAGGACTCGTGGCAGGCCACTGAGTAGTGGGGTGCATGCTGCGTCAAATGAAGGCAGGGTTCGGATTGAAAACAGTAGAGCGCAGCGGGCCAGAACCAATATGGCCAAACATGATAGTGGGCGCTTTATTCAATGTAAAAGGCGCGCGGAGGATGTACCGGTGTTGCAGCCTCCGCAATGGTTGGTACAAGTTTGGGTACAGTGATTTGGGTTGCCGTCTCGGCCGACAGCATGTACCACAGGTAGGTACCGTTAGGTAGGTACACCATGTCTGTCGTATCTCTACCCCCCAGGGAGGGTCTGTCTCGCGGTGCGAAACCTAGCCCGGCAAAATCGACGGTCTGACCTTGGCTAGGTGACCCCGGGCTAGTTGAAGCCTGTATGATGACATGATGCCGTAGGCTCATAAGCAGTTTCGGTATGCCGGGGCCGGGGTCATTTAATTTATTGCGAATGCTATCTGTCCCAAGTATCTCTACCAACCCGCATGTAGCTTCAATTATCAAGTTAAAAACCGCTCTTTCAAGGCCCGGGCTCGGACCTCCGGCCATTCTTGCCAAACCGTTGCATCGTAGCGGGATCGTAGTCTGCTTTTATCCATAAATTCGGTTGCACGCTGAAATAGACGGGTGACAGGGGTGAATCTGGAGACTACCCTAGCAAGAATATTCTGAGTGTCCACACATGCAGGTCACAGATTCCAGACAACCGGACTTCTCGGCGGTACCCGGTACCGGTCGGCGGTGCTGCTGCCCTACAGTACGGTAACTGAAACCTGGCCGCTCCTAACTCATGTGTCCCGAGTAGGTACCTTAATTCTAATACCGTATATTCTACAGTATTAGACTCCAAGATTGCAAGCATCGGACCGTGGACGGTTCGTATATGGTACCTACTAGGTAGTACTCGGTGGCGCAAAACGGACAAAGCAGCCGAACTTTTCTTGGGAAAACGTTGCGGACGCTGGTTTGCTACTGATCGGACCTGGAACCGCCGGCAAGCAACCGGGGCCCTCTGAGACATTAGGGTTATGTTGGAAGCCTGTGACGGTTTGTTAGGGTCGTGCCACCTTACTCTTACTGCACTACGATTAGGGTTTACACTAACGGCTTAGGCATATTCTTAGGTTTTTTGTGTTGGTGAGGTTCCCGGTAGTCTGAATCAGTGCCCAGTTAGTCAAACTGGACGGTGTCCGCGTGCCTCTTGCGTGGCCTACTAGGTACCGTACTCAGTGGATCCAGTAGAGCCTGGTTTCCGGCCGCCCTCCTTGGTCGGACTTCATGATCCATCATACGGTACCTACCTATACCGTAGATACCGGTACCGTGTTCAGTACGCATGGTACCTGTTCGCTTGTACAGTTAAAGGGTACCTATCTTGTACAGTGCTTACACGGTACCTTGCACATCCCGGTTCACCGGCCGGCACAAAGTCACTCCGCCGACAGAGCTTCTTACCTACCGGTATTACTTCATTGCGGGATCCCCCTGCGTGCTCAAGCGTATCTAGGTACTTAAATTGCACAGCGTAGTACCAAGTAGTACCAAGTATAGTAGGTACCTCTAGAGTTATCTTCCTGTCCCTTGTCATGATTGACGATCACACTGTATGACACCAACAATGCTTTGCCTGTTTGGGTCCAGTCACGAGTGACTCCAGTCACCAGTGTCCAGGAGGTAGAGGTCTTTGGCGATCACCATTCCGCGCTGAAGAATACCTACCTATCTAGCTGTGGGCTCTAAAGGTGCCGTAGTCTGACACATCACGACAAGAGCTGTATCCAGGCTCCGGCAGGGCGACAGACTCCAGAGTCGAAGTGAAACACCGCCTTCACTGCCGTTGACAGCCTGAGCATTACGCTATACCAGATTCGATTCCCGAATCAGCAACTACCTAGCCCGGCTCTGCACTGATTGAGATGAGTTCCGAAGTCTCCACAATGGCGACATCTTTGAGCACTCATGATCCACTTGGCATCTGCAGATGCACAGTACAGCCGACTGCTCAGAAATACAGTCGGAAGCCCCCACATTCTTGCCACTGCCAGATACATGAAACGGAGAACAAAAGCTTGCAGAAGCTTCTCGTGTTGATTACTTCCGAGATACCTTTCCAAAACGAGCTGCATCCCAATCCTTCTCATGAGCGCCGCAGTCATGGCTTCTCACACCCTCCCTATCGTCTGTGTGGTGGGACTGCTGCTTCTTTCGAGCTCAGCGGTCTCCGCTTTCCAGGGCTCAGAAGCCAACCCTGTGTTGGGACGTCGGTCTCTCCTTCAGTCGTGCCCAGCAAACCGGCCCAATCCGGTGAGTGAGAGATTGTCATGTGTTCATGTATGAGAACAATTGACTAGTGCTAGCAAAATCTAGAGTGTACACCAGGTCTAGCTCCGCTCATGAGTTGCCCAATGCATTCCTGGTTTCAAGTTTGATTGGGCTTATTGCTGGTGGTACAGTTCTCAGACCACTTGGAAGGGTTTCCTGAAAGCTCTATTGAGCATAGACTTTGTTCAGTTGATTGCAGTTCTACTGCAAATGATGAATCTCCCAGTAATGGGGCATCAGGGGCTAAGTCAATCTGGTTTGAAGTTGCCAGTACAGCCCCTACTAGTGACTAGTGATACTATATGCTGCAAACTGCACAATGATGGAGATTAAGTGCAAACCGCTGCCAGATTTGACAGGATTGAGGGGTGCAAAGCAACGAAACAATTGAACTACCGGCAATTGGGCAGTGTTCATTAGTATATGCTCTTTCCATTGCTACGGCTTGCCTTGCTTCCACAATGGATGCATCTCGTGGTCAGAAATTCTGCTACAGCCATTCCCTCTTTTATGATCCACACCTCAAAAGCAGTGAACACCCACTTGGCTTTTTTTCTGCCTAATCACAACATTGTGTCAAAAATGGTCTCCCTTGTGTGCTGTGTGCAGTGCTACAACAACGACGGCAGCAAGAGCACTTGCTGCCCCAGCCCCGGGGGTTGCAGCTCCACCCCTGGCCCGGAGCCCAGCTGCCAGAAGAGTGTGACCTTCGGAGGCATCGGAGCAGGCCCCTTCAGCACTTTCACTGCTGACAGCCAGGTCACCGTTAATGGACAGACCCTTCAGGTAGGACTCAAACATTATCTTGGAGTGCAGAGCTTTTCATTTAAGTTTCTGGCACCCCGTCAGGAGATGGTCAGAGGGACACCACAGCCCCTAAGTTGCAGCTTGTCTTTGGATTTCTACATCAGTGTTTCTCAAGATTCTGCAGCCTCCTCAAACACAAGGAGCCTGGGCCCCATGTCAAGGACAACAACTCGGTGTGTTGATTGTGTGCTGTAAGCTTTTTCAGAATTGAGTGGACATTGACATGGCAATGGGAACGGCATTAAACAAAGCTTGGACTGTAGTCCTGCGGAACCTCTGAACTTCAAGTTACTGCACTCACTCTCTCCAGTTTGAACCTTCTGAAGGGAGGTTCTCAGCTTCTTTACTGTGTTCCAGGAAACATTTTCCAATTGCTCAGTCATACCTTCTCTCAACTTGCAGTATCTGCCAATCGTGAGTGCCGTTATCGCCCTTGACATTGACAATAGAAGCACCTATACCTCTTGAAGGGCTATCAGTCTACTGAATCGTTATCAACTCTTTCACCAACTTCAGCAGTTCGTCTGTGTGTCTGAGACACTGGCGGATTTCTTATCCAAGTCCGCTCAACCGACCTCTTTTCAAGTTCCATCTTCTCAGAGACCACTTACAAGGTGGTGCTGAGACAAAAGCAAGACTATTCTTCCATCCTCTGTTTCTGCATCTCTCAACTACTTTTTCCTTGTCTGTAACAGCCTTATAAGGTCATGCTCGAGAGCAACAAGAACTATGGTGGCTACCAGTTCGCCCAAGTCCTCAACTTTGCCGGTGCGCCCATCGGAGGCAGCGGGGCCGCGGACAAGGTGGCGGCATTCGATAGAACCAGCCTGTTTGAGGAGTTTGGCAAGTACTGGGCAGTCACCCAGAATGAGCAGTAAGACTCCCTCCCATTCTGTCTCGCATGCTCTCTCGATTGCTCTTGGCATGAGTCGAGAAACCTCATGCTGAGACTTCTTGCATACTTCTCAACTAATGCCGGGAGACAGTTGTCTCACATTCTTCCTACTGAGTGTTCAGATTCTCATCGAGCACCCAGAGGTGCTTACTGGCCGCCATATTGAGAAAAGAGATCATTGTCGGTTCCAAGTTTAGAGAAGACAAGCCGACTTGTTCCTCTCGGCTTCTGAACGGTAAAGTAAAACTCCTTTCCCATCCCACGTCCTAAATTCGTTTGCATACAGGTAGAAGCGAAAAGACGATTGCTCACCGGACACCGCTTATTGATCTGCAGGGTTGCCGGCTCAATGTACATCACCGAGCTGACCCAGAGCGCCGACGGCACGCTGACGCCCGTCAAGTCTCAGTTCGTGAAGCAGAACACCATCTTCGGCATGTGGTAAGTGTGACTCCCCGACAACCAGATATTGGTGTTTCCTTCCTGCTTCTTCAATCCCACAGACTTTCCATATTCAACCTGTTGTCGTTGGAAACCACTTTTGAACCCTTCGACCAAGGCAAAGACACTGCTCCGCCTCAGAGAGCGAAGGTCCGGAACTACTCTGGTTTCTTCGACCACCTGTTCATTGTTCATTGTTCACCTGCTCATCGTCACCCTGTGCATTGTTCACCTGTGCATTAACCAGTTCGTGATTCGCCAAACCCGAAAACGCAGGCGCTTCGTAGATCACCAGTACAACAAACTGAAGGGCTTCTCTCCCTTTTCCAGGCGCCCTTGCAGCGGCACTCTGACCCCCTGGAAGACCCACTTGGGCGGAGAGGAGAACACGCCCCAAACCCGCGGCTACCCGAACCTGGTGTGGGGCCAGAACCTGGCGGCGAGCTCCAAGCGCGGCAAGCCGTATGCGGACAGCGGCATCGCGGACCAGGCCAAGATCCACGGACTGTCCGACCCCAAGGACGTGTCCCCCTACTGGTGCGTGCCCTTCCCAAGTGTGTGTTGTTGAACGGTGTGATGGCGAGAAGGGCAAGGCGAAGTAACAGTGACCCAATGTTATCATATCGAGCAGGAACGTTGGCAGAATGCAAATCCAAACGCGTCGGTTCTTGCGATGATAATCGAACGTGGGCTTATCGCGAATGTGTGGAGAAAACCTCTGATTGGGCACTGCGTTGGTCTGAGCTCGCTTTCGCCTTGATTCAACTCCTTTGTTTTGCAAGAAGAAGACCGGAAAGTCATGTCTCGTGTGCCTCCGAATGTCCAGGTACGGCTGGGCGGTGGAGGTTGACGTGACCAACGCCGCGGGAGATTACACCGTCGCCAAGCGCTACGCTCTGGGCCGCTCTGGCAAGGAGATGCTCGTCGTCATGCCTGATCAGGTCAGAATAAACACGCGGAACAGATTGCCATGCACGCTGCGATCTTTCTTTCGTATCGCCAAACTCGAACATCTCGTGTAAGCTTTTCGAGTCGGCCCCATCGACTCTGCACATCTGCAACAAATCGCTCTGGCATCAGTTGGCCCCTAACTAGAGGCTCCAGTCTGAAGTTTCCCGTTACCCTCAAGAAGAATTTCTGAGGAGCATTGCTCTCAAATTTCAAAAATCGGCTAATCCTCTGTCGTTGTTTGTCTTGAGCGCTTCACATCCGCCGATTGCTGAGGTGCCGAGACCCGCGAATCCTTCACGGGCTGACGTCGGTTCCTATCATTCCCGTGTGCAGCAAACCGTGTACATCAGCGAGGACCAGAGCAGCAATGGCGCGCTCTACATGTTCAAGGCCACGGTCCCCGGGGACCTCCGCAAGGTAACACCTCCGCCCCGGCGGAAAGGCGAACGCTTTGACTTCTGTGTCTTCATCCAAGTCTTGTGCTTCTTCGTCTTATGTTCCTTGTCTCAAAAGTCGAATTTTTGCTTCCTCGTATCATGCGGGAAAGGACGCTTGTGCTTAACTTCGAGGCGTTGTTCCTGTTTTATTCCTGCGCACGCTAGGTTCTCGGTGGCCCCTGTTTCTAGGGTGAAGCGCTCTCATCTTCGTCACGAGTTTTTGCTCCTTCTTTTCAAAGCCGCACCCCTGTTCCTTTTTTCAATCGACCGTACTGTTGTAATTACTTCTGTGCTGCCCCCTCCCCTTTTCCTCCGCTAACGGAAGTCAGCCGCACTTCTCGGGAGCACTTGTAAAGGTACCGCGGTCTCCGGCTGTATTGCAGGGCAAGCTGTACGCCGCCAAGTGGACCCAGACGAGCGCCTCCAACGGCGGTTCCGCCCAAATCTCGTGGATTCCGCTCAACCCCGAGGGCGGTGACGTGGACGAGAGCCTCGTGCAGGCGGCGATCGCCGGCACTACCTTCAGTCAGACCAAGGCCAGGTTCGAGGTCAGTCGCGGCGCGGCAAACATCGTTTTTGAGACTTCGGCCCTTTTCTTTGCTGGTCGAGCTACCACCGCTTGCTCAGTGAAGAAGCCGTGCTTCATTTTTGATAATCCAGGCGATGACCCACTTGTTGTGACGAAGTCTATTCTACTTGTTGACGGTTGAAAATCAGTGGTGCTGGAGCGTCCTGTTTTGACATGTGATGTTGATCCGGAGAGCGATGCGAGCGACTCTGCTATGACTCGTCGGTTGCGTGAGCCGGCCCAGTCTCCGCTCTAAGACTCCACTTAAATCCAACACGGATAGGGCAGTTTGACGAGACTGCCTTTTCGTGCACTAGTTTCCCAGGGATAAACCTTCCAGTTAGTTTCAGCTTTAGAAGCGAAGCGTTCTGACTTCTTGCTCTTCTTTCCTTTGCTTCGATCAGTTCTTCTTGTCAGAACTTTCCCTCCGAAAGTACGAAGTTCAGTGAGCACATGACATGACGACAAGCCCCCGCACGCAAGCACGCCCTTTGAATTTCCAAGGTGGCTTTACGTTTGCAAGCCAATGATCCCTTAGGCTGAATGGCCACGATTGACCCCCCGCTACGGCTATCTGTTCGCAGGACTTGTTCGACTACCAGGAGCCGACCTACCAAGCCGGCACCGGCACGCCCAACTCGCCCCCCGCCGGTTACGTGTCTGTCGTCGTTGAGGCTGACGGTATCCACGAGTGGCTGCGGGTAGGTAACGCTTGACCACTCTTACACCAGGGGTCAAGTCGGGAATAGAGGAAGCGAAATGTTTGTGATCATGTTTGTGGAGATCGGGTCTGGTCACTCGATGGGCGTCAGCCGGCGGCCGCCTCCGTCCATATGAGCTTTGGGTCCCGCAGGACGGACAAGTCAAACAAGGCAGTCCGGGTTCCCTTTCTTCACAAACGTAGGCAGTACTCCTGTGCCCCGCGCTTCCAAGTTCTTTGGGCCAGCTCGAAATGGAGCTGCTGAATCAAGCAATATTGAACGAGGTTCTTTTGTGGTTCCAGCATCGAAAGCCACAGCCTCCGTCCTGTTGATTCATTACGAGTACCCGTCAGTTTATACATCTAACTCTGCTTGCTCAAGGTTTCCAAAATTGCCCAATGGTGTCCGGTTGAAATGCGCTCGAAGTAGAAATAAAAGGTGACTCGATGGGCCCCTGGCTTCTGCAGATTGTTTCAACCTGTTGCTTCCTTTCCCTGCCCCTTTCAGTTGAAGCCCGGCAAGGGCCCCCTCGCCTCCGTGCTCGAGTCGCGCCGCATGGCTGCCTACGTCGGTGCCACCACCGAGTTCTCCAAGTTCGAGGGCATGGCCTTCGACCCGCAGTCCAACTCGCTGTTCGTCGGCTGCACCACCGTCGACCGCAGCATGCTCGACAACCCCAACGTCCAGTTCTCCTACGATGCGGGTGCGCTCCCTACCTCGGTGTTGTTTGTGTGGTCCTTTTTGCACGCCGTGCTTTGCTTGATGGCTGTTGACTTGCCATGCCTTGTTGAGCACCTTGAGGCGGCTACCCACTCAGGCGTCCTCGATCCACTTTCGCACGGTACTGCTTCATCAAAACGAGGAATATAAGCCTTCAGGAGGAGCTTCTTACTCTCGAGCGCCACGCCGAGGGCCACTTGTTATCTACTCCCTTTGCAGAAATGAATTACTATGGGCCCGTTTGGTCTGCTGCTTTTTCTAAAGGGGCGGGCGCTCATCAGCCCATCAGCCCGTATGCGACTGAAAGGCATCAATGACGTTGACAGCTTTGCAGTCGTCTGAGAAGCGTGCAGATTCGTCCAAGAAAGCGAACTCTAAGCGCGGATTCTTGCCGCTAGCTCGCTCACTCAAAACGCACTTTACCCGCAGGCGGCCCGAACCACGTGCGCCTGGAGAAGATCCCCGGGGGCGTGGTGTACCGGCTGAACCTGCAGTACAACGGGCAGGTCGGGTCCAACTACGTGGCCGCGGACATGTACCCCGAGCTCATCAGCCCGCCCGCCGCGTTCAACGCCGCCACGGGTGACGTCAGCCCCGACGAGATCTGCGCCCCGGACAACGTGGGCATCGACGTGGAGGGCCGCACGCTGTTCATCAGCGAGGACGGCGACGGGCACCCCAACAACTACTTGTGGGCGCACAACCTGATCACCAAGGAGAAGAAGCGCATCTTCGCGGCCAGGCCGGACGCGGAGGTGACGTCAGGGTACTACTTCCCCAACGTGGGCGGCTTCTCGTACCTGATGGCCACGTCACAGGGGGTGTACCCGGCCGTGGTCGGCTACTGGGCCTTCCCCAAGGACCAGAACGTGGCGCCGGCCAACTAGATACGCCATTTTTTGAAATTGGCAGTGGCAAGGACATTGTGAGTCTAATGCGAATGCTGCAGAAGCAGCGCGGCAACAAAAGATTGAATAAACACAAGCCGCGTTGCACAGCTTCGAACGCGGACTCGCAGTTCACAGTTTTGCAAGGAGAGTCTTAAGGTTTGGGATGAGTCGTAAGATTCCTCCACAGTTTATAGATAGCATGTGACGCTGACATGAGCCAATAATCCCGGCACAGATCTCTGTGTGTTTGGCGAGGGTGGGTCCGAATGTTCCATTAGGCGTAAGTCGAAAGTCAAAGATCTACGATCAGTACTTTTTAACCCTAGTATTCTTCCGACTTCATAAGACTGAGCTCTCTCTAGAAGTTTGTATCAAACCACCACGTGGCATCAGTATTGAGGTCAATAATGATTGTTGATTGTCGAATTAGCAATCGACTTCATTCATGTAGATTTTCGAATTGCTTAGTACGTTTGCACATATATGATCGATGTCAGTGCCTGGCTGGGCATAGAAACCGTCACTGTGTCCTCTTGAGTTCATCGCGATGGACCGTCGTGCACAATTGAGATTCTTGACCAGAGCTACCATGCCGCGAGTGACTCTGGTCTCCATGCATCGACCTGGCGCATGTGCGCATTGGCTTTTCGACTGGCACCTAGCAAGCATGCAAATATACGCGGAGGCCGCGGTATAAAAGTTCCGCCGTGATCGCAAATAAAATGAGTTGTCAAAAAAGCAGTCAGATGCCGGCCAGCCGTCGTGTAGGTCTCCGTAGCTAGTCAGTTGCATGCTAATAGCAATGTTACTTGAACTAAACAAATTACATCTAGAAAATTTTTGTAGATCGTTGCTTATTGCATGTCGTAGGTTGTAGGGTCTTTGAGTCTTTGGACATGAATTGCAGCCGTAGCAAGCCGCAGAGTCAACAAACTATCCCGGGTCTGCCGGAGACCGTGCTCCATGCGGCCATGGCCGGTGGCTAAGGGCGCGTTAATCAACTAGAAGTTACCAAAGTCGCACGCGGTCGGACTCAGTGACCCGACGACATCCAATCAATGATCGAATTGTATCTATGCCAATTGACTGTATAAGCCGGCCGTTCGTGCCATTGAAAGCCGCGTATTTGACGGTTATAGCCTGCATGCTGTGCAGCGCATGTAAGATTGACATAAACTATAGCAATGACTGATAACTGAGTAACTCATCTATCTAAACACAAATTTATATCCATGTACTCATGCATGCAATCTGGCCCCACACCGTCACGCGCGAAGAGTGCACAACGCACCGGCGCTGCGCATCAGGCATAAATAACATGGGCACTGTGAATTATATATCCTTCCAGTTTTTGCCACAACCGTAACACCTGGCCGGACTGCCGGACCATTCCCAAGTCGCCTGGCCGGCGCGCCAGTGAATCCCTATAATTACAGTACGGAAAAATCTTCCAGTCATGCAGCACCATCATCCCTGCTCGAGTCTTCTTACCAGCGCATACATTTTATTGAGACAATGTAAGGATTGGAGATGAAACATCATCAATCAGGAGAACGCCAGCGAATATGCTTCTCTCCTTCGACTCTTTTGTGAAACGAACATTCAGGTGCTAATACCGTCCTCCCAAATCAAATGTTGCTGATCAAGCGAAGCCAAACCTTCGCATAAGGCAATGGCTCGCAACAGATGCGCAGTTCAAGCAGTCCGCTGGAGGAAGTCCGCGGATATGTCGTGCGCTCGTACCCTCTCTTGAAGCTCGTGAACATGCGCGCGCAGACGATCGGGCGCGCTAAAGAAATCGACGAAAACCTGCACACGTAGAAACGTTTCAGGTCACGAGCCTACGACGCGAACAATAGCGGTACTACCAGAAGCATTAAAGCAACGGCGTTGAAAGTCCACCAAGCAAAGTCACCGACTTTAACGAAAGGCACCGTTTGCCTCTAGGTGCCTCAGAAGCCAGCGCTTTCAAGCAGAGCTTGCAACGAACAATATTGGCAACGCTTCCCCACCACGGCCGACCCTGGTGCCCACCTGTCGTTCCAGGCCGATCTCGTGCGGGTGGTGCCGCACGATCTCGGCGCGGTGGCGGTGCTCGTTCGACACCTTCTCGATAACCCCGGACAGCTCCTGGTTGGCCGCCTCCAGTTCCGAGAGAGCGTCCCGAACCTCCTGCAACACACGAGCCCACGGTCTTCAAACGGCGCGTCGCTTTTGCTCCCGGACTGGCTCTGAGAACAGCAACGGCCAGCCCAAGAGCTCAATCGACCTCGTTCTGAAATTACAGCAACGGGCGGGTCCCCAGGTCAGCAGGACGCAGGCTTATCGCTTACTTCGGCACGCTCAATGGCAGCATGCCACGTCCCGCCGCTTGTCTTGATATCAAGTCTGCTTGTCTTCCTCCAACAATGATCAAATCAGGAACCGCTTGTCCTCGTTTTCATGTGGGCAGGAGAATAGGGAGATCTAAACGCTGACGACACATTTTTCCGAAGGCTTGATCATCGTCTCAGCACCATCACGTACCGGGGGCGTGAGCACTGGCTGCACGGTCGCGGCCGCCCCGAAGAGCCGCCGCTGCATCTGGTGGATGAGGCCGTACAGGTCCGCGGTGACGTCCCGCTTGTCCGTGGCCAGCCGCTCGTCCAGCTCGCGCCGCTGCGCGCGCACGTCGCCCTGCAGCTGCCGCAGGCGCCGCACCAGCGCGTCCGCAGTCGCCAAGGGGGGCCCGGCCGACCGATCTGCGGAGAGAAGCGCGGGGCGAGCGTATGAGATCATACCTCGCAGACACAGGCCAAGCAGTCGGCTTGTCTGCTTATATATCAAGTACTCAGAGAAGAGCGAGCTGCCAACTGGCCACTAGGACACGTGATTGGAGAATGGTTTTCGCTGCTGCAAGTTGTCCGGACAACTTGCGATGCAAGCGAATCCGAAGTGTCAAGGGTTCGAGCTAGAGCTAAGTCACGATCGGGTTGGTGATGCAGGCAAATTGCATGGCCACGGGGAGCAGGCGCGTGTAAGGGGCTTTTCTAAGAAAAGACAGTTCTTCGGCAAGCTGAGCTGGTTCGAAGGTCGGTAGAGGCGCACTGGACATGCGAACGGCTATTTTATTGCTCTCACTTTACCCGGAGGAATACTGGCGTACAGCGTTCGGACTGCTATTCTTGAACATCGACCAGCACAGTGTCAGTAAATCGGCTCAATGGTGAAATCTGGCTCCAAGAGAAATGTAGCAGAACCATCAACGAGTGCTCGCTCTTGGAGAGAGGCCCTTGCACTCCCTTTCTGAACTGCAACAAACGTAACAAAAAGAACCGCCTCGCCATTTGACAGTGTCGCAATTTTGCGGCGTCCTGGAGACCGGTCTATACTCTACGTTTTACCTTCGAGTAGCTGGCAAGAGAAGTCCTTTGGATGTGACCGCTATTTTCTGCTTCCTTGACAACACAGCCCACCGGCCTGCTGACGGCCCCCTCACCTTTCTCGCTGCCGAGCAGATCCCGCAGTCGGCTCAGCAGGGGATCCCTTTCGTCAATCACCGCTGGGGCCTGCGCCTGGGTCGCAAGTCGTTTCAACTCGCTGCAACGCTCCTGCAGAATGTACAGACTTCTCCGTTAGCAAGTTCGATGGCGGGAAAATCTTCCGCAAGCGAAAGCTACGATTCAAAACGTTCACGTCGTTGCTCGAGCGGATGACTCCTTCCTTCACCCACAAGAACCAGGAGGCCCATCTGCCCGGTTTGAGCGCAGCACTCCAGGTGCAAACACGATTGCGGTCCCAGTTCGCCGACTGCATGCCACGAGGTGTGTAGAAGCCCCCTGTTCATTTACCAACCCAAAGTCAAAAGCACGATGTCTCGATCAGGTCGAGACAAACTTTGAACGAACGACGGACACAACGTCAGACGAAGCGGCAACTAAGACTTCCTTACACTTCTGGTCTCGGTCGCCCGCACGAGTGCCTCGACCTCCCGGTGCGCGACACAGAGCAGGTCGTGGGCTCCCCGGTGGCCGCACTGCTCCATGTAGCACGCTAGCTGCAGGAACAGGTGGCGCGCCTGCTGGGCCACCAGGTACCCAATGAACTGCACACCAAAGTAAACCACAGCATGAGCCGGAGTGCAGCTACGGAAGAAGTGGGTATCCAAGTATTACTAGCACAAAGGCGGCATACACCTTGATCGCACTCAAAGAAACGGAGTCTGAAAAGATTCCGGATCGCTCTAACGTTCAAGAAGGGTGCCAGCCTAAAAGTCGTCAGCGGTTCGATATTTTGTGTTCCGGAGGGTCGGCTCGGATTTTCGAGCAATAGAAGCTGCCCATGGCTCGTCCCTGGGCATGTGCCGCCTCGTAATCGCTGTCCGATCCTCGCGCCCTTTTATGCGCTCACCTTTTTCTGTTGCTGCAGGTAGTACTCGTGGCGCATGATCTTGAGGTCGTAGTCCCCCTCCAGGATGTACGTGTCCTGCAGCGCCGCCAGGTCCCAGCACAGCGCCGCGACTGCGCCCTCCCGCAACGCCGCCTCCTTGCCGCGCGCACCATACAGTGCCGCCTCTGCGTCAGCCTGCCGCCGCCTGGAAGACGATATATTCTTTCGTCAGGGCCGTTGGCTGACCGAGGCCCTGCGGGCGTCTTCTGCAGATTCGACGAAACGCAAGGCGGGGCTTTACTTTCTGCTCTATTTTCGGCCCAGGTAGAGAAGAGAAGTCGCTCTGAATTTCAAGTTAAGGGGGGCTTCGCAAGAATCGCTTTCGACTCCTTCCGTTTAACCCAGTTTCTGCGCATTGTGAACTCAACAACGGACGGAATCGCCACACCATTCGGACTTTTCCGCTCTTTGAGAGAGATCCCTTTCGATTCTCCTCTTCTTACTGTCAGACAAAAAGCTTCCGAACCTCCTCTCCTTGCTGCCGAATAACAAACAACTAACAAAGACGGCGGCCCCGTCATGCATTGGGGAACGACTCGGAGGCCGGTTCACCAACTCATTCAGCCCCCCTTCAACGCACACCGCATCCACACACACTCCCTCCCGGATGTGCCGCCGCTGGCTCACCGCAGAGCATCCGTGCCGCTGCGCAGGTGTGCGGGCTGCTGGCTCTCTGCCTGCTGCAGGCGCGCGACGCGCAGGACCTCCCGCTGGCGCGCGCGCTCCGCCTGGGCGTCCACCCACTGCCGCTCGCTGATGCCAAAGATGGCGCGCAGCCGCCGCAGCTCCAGCACGCGCTGCGCGTACGTCGACGCTGACTCGCCTGCAAAGGAGCGAAAGTCGTCCAACGATATAGTTCGCAAGATAGTGAAACGGTAGGTTTCTCAGGGGATTGCAGCCTTTCAAAAGGGCGAGAAGGTGAGGTCGACATGGTCAACAAAGTGTCGATAAAGCTCTGAATGCTGCAACAAGCAAGAAGGAAGTTAAACGAAGTACATCATAAAACGTCAATTCGGAACCCAGCTTGATGTGATGTTTCGAAAGTTTTTGGCTAAGCTCTGGCTTCAGAATGCGCACACAGTTGAACATTTCAGACTGGCTCACTGCTGGCATGCTCCCAAAGCTCCATTTCAATGTTGTCTATGAGATACCCGCAACAGAACGGGCCACAAGGCTTCTGCTGAAGTTTACTGTACAATTGAACGAGGGACCAGCTGATGATAAAAAGCTTCAGAGACACTGAGTAAGTCGCGCGCGCATTGAATAGATGTTCCTGGTCGCCCTTTCAGTAAATCGGTCTTTGGATGTGTACCTTTGACGAACCGGTCACTGAGGTCATCCAGCACGACCCAGGAGCAGTCCGCTATGCCCTGCCGCGCCACCACCGCTGTGGGCCCCTCGTGGAACTGGCGCGTGAAGTACGCGTCCAGCTGATGCGAACAGCTAGCATCCTGCACGAAGATGATGAATCAGGAGGAAACGGAAAGCTCTCACAAGCACAGAGAAAAACAGAACGAATGAAGCCAATCTGAGCCAGGAGGATTGAAGACAGCAAGCTATCTGATAAGCGGGGTTTTAATTGCGGCAGTTTCATCAAGGCTATCTGTGACAAACCTGGGAGGTGAAATTTCTCATGTCCTGGACCGACAGGTAGACCTGGTCCCCGTCCTGAGAGTGGTGGCCGGCCAGCTCTTCGGCCGCGCTCGCCAAGTCCTCCAGAACCTGATTCATCTGCAATTGAGCAGAAGATATCGTCCTTGAGTCTTGTGTCTCCAAAACTACCCTGATCTGTGCAAACTGGGCTTGTCAGATTCATGTTCGTGTTAAGCGCGAATGCGGATCCATTTGCCCTGCAGGTAGTGCGTGCTCTCCCAGAAGGAAGAATACACAACACCTGCCACCTTTCGAAGCAAAGACCCAACACTGCATCAGAGGCACTGCACACCATCATAATTGTCGCCAGAAAGAAGGGTTTCACCAATTGAAACAAAATCGGGCCCCATGTTCGAAAAGATCAAACTAACTACCGTGGTTCAAAACTTTGTGACGGGTTGTAGTGACCCGACAAGATGTTTGGTGTTGTCAACGGCCCATCCTTGGACCTCATCTTCTGCATGTGTCTTCCCTGACCATTGATTACAATTTTGACAGAGTCGCTGGTCATTGCGAGCAGGGCCGCGCCTACCTCTGCGTTCCGCTTGGCCAGCTGGTCCTCTACAGCCGCCAGCCTGGCCCTCCTACTAGCGTCCGCTGTTTTGGCCACCACCCTGCGCTTGTGCACCAGCTCCGCGTCCTGCGCCGCCAGCAGGTCCCGCTGTGCCAGCATCCTCTGGCTCCTTTGCCGAAGCGCCTCCGCTTCCGCCCTCAGCGCCGCAGTCTCCTCCCTGCATGAAGGAGGGGAGCTTTACCGATCCGTCACAAGCAGGCCTCTCTGTAAGCCTCTTGGCAGGTGACTTTCTGCAACAAGAAACTATTTGCGGTATGCTTTCACGAGGATCTATCATGGGGCTGGTATTCCCCCAGTACCAAGCGGAAGAGCCACAGCGTGGGGGGCCTACCGCAGCAGCTTGGCAGACTCTTCCACCCCCAGCACGGCGTCCGCAATGGAGCGGTCCGACTCGAATGCTGAGATGCTTGCAAATGCAGCATCCAAGTCTTCCCCTTCCAGAACCTGCACCATTGAGTGTGTGGTGCTTCTTCAGGATTGTCAGTGATATGGTGATTAGTGAAATGGCGTTCTTCTGCCACAAGTTCCATGCACGGAACACCTGGACCTTGCATTGCAGATTGTCATGTCCCCCAACACCAAAGCGTCCAAAGTGCTTGCAAGGAAAGGAAGCTCAGCAAAAAGTGCCCTACCTTTCCATCTTGCACTAGCTCCATGTATAGAGCAACCTCTTGTTGGGTTAGTACATTTGCTGCGGAGAGGTTGGCACATATCCACTCCATGACTGGTCGTGTATCTTCATACTGGAAAGGCCAGTCCAGCCCACTAGGATCGAGCCGGCTCCCGTAGCCCAATTCTTCCAACAGCTCAGCAAGATGGTGCCCCCCCATCATCACACCCCCGCAGAAAGAGTTCCACAATCAGAGATGCTGATTGCGAAATGGCGCTGTTTCAGATTACCTGCGAAGCATGCTGATGAAAGGTTGTGTGAACTATTCAAGCTGCTGCTGGAACGCTGGCATTGGCAACAGAGGACAATCTTACATGGCTCGCAAGTTTCCTCAGGCTCTAGCTTTCTAGCTGAGGAAATTTCCTTTGCTCCAGTTGGCTCCAGTGGCAGAGAACCCTAATCTGGGAAACTCAGGACCGGAATTCGTCGTTCACAGCTTGGAAGTTGGACTTGGAGCCTGAGGTCGCCGTATCTAGTTGCAATGGCAAGGTTTCATGCTCAGCCTAGCTGCTACAGTGCTAGGGCGCCATTTGCATCACACCGTTGTTCACACTGCACGCCATGAAACTTGGAAGCAACATTCTCATAAACAGTCGGAGCGTGCCAGCGCCCTTCTTGACCCACCCTACGACGGGTGTGGGAGGTCTCTTCAAGATGGTCTGACAGGCGTGCACTGCAGGAAGAGCTGCGCCGTAGACCCAATTCAAGACTCTTTCAATTGGTGAGGGCCATTCGCAAATGCTTTTTATTTGCCTTGCTTAGTCATTTCAATCGTGCCCCACAAAACATTCCCATACTCGCAAGCAACCATTGAGAGGATTCTGCAATGTAGATGCTTCTGACTGTCCGAGAGTTGCAATATCAATCTTTACCCTCACTTTAAGGTTCACTTTGGTTTCAGACTGGACGCGTTGATTTAAGATTGCCATGCGCTCATAAAATTAGAGACCATGGTAGGATGGCTTTGCTGGTTTTATGCCGAGTGACTTCCTGGTGCTGTCTTTGGAGCAATTGAGTATGGTGAGCATGCTCCTGGAACTTGTTGCTTCCTGTCGGCCTGACATAAGGTCTTCGTCTTTTCAGGAAGCAGGCTGCTGATAATGGCCGAGTCTGGTGTGGAGAAAGACGCCAAGCCTGCACCAGCGGAGTCTGAGAATGGTGGTAAACAAGACGTGGAAGCTGTTGCAGAAACAGACACCGCTCCTGGCAACATCTCAAAAACTGCAGTAAAGGGGACAGCTTCAGACGAATCTGCAAGTGCGTCAAAAGAAGGTGTATCGTCGTCTGGCAGCACAGATGTTGTGGGAGAAGGGGCCAAGGGGAGGGAGGAGAGGACGGACGATGATGCATCCTTAAGTAAGGATGAAAGCAAGCGGGTTGTTGAGGAGCAGCAGAATTCCAATGATGCTGAAGAGAAGGAGAAGGAGGACGAGGGAGACAGGAAGGCGGTAGATGTGGAACGGCTCAGTGACAATGAGAGCTATCACTCGCCAGGGGAGGAGGAGTACAACAGCGGAAGCGATGACGCTTCGGGCCTGCTACGAGGACGCAGGCGGGAGGCAAGTGATGAGGAAGATGAGGAGGAAGAGGAGGAGGAGGACAGGATTTCCATAGCAGAAGGTGAAGCAGAGCAGGCACACGGTGGAGTCACCGCAGGTGAGAGGTCAACGCTCGTAGCATGCTCAGGTGCTGTGCCAAGGTTTCAAAAAGGATGATTTGCTGGTCTGCTCAATTGCATTTATTCCCAGGCGTTCTTTTCATGAAGTAAATTCAGCAGATTCTGAGCAATCTTGCAATTTGTCGGTAGATTCATGAAAAAGAAGAGATTGAAAAGGCAGGTTTTGTGCCTCAGTGTTCACTTTGCCCAACCTGCCACTAGGTTTTTATTTCCTTGATTTGATTGCCACCACTTCTTGAATTTGATTGTATATTGATATTCAAAGTTAGTGGGCGCTTTTCACTAAGAATTGAGTGATTGGTGTGTACTATTCCATTACAGTACGGTACCGGTGGCCCCTCAATCCCTGCCTCTTTTCTCTACCTTCTCAGTTGGATCCAACTCGCTTCTATCTTCTTGTCAAATGCAGATGCAAACTTCAAAGGAGAGGGTGCATACCAGAGCGACGGGATGCAGACAATGGAGAAGACCGACGGGGATGCAGACGATGAAGGGGACGACTTGCTGGATGACGACAGCAATGATTTGGACGATGAGGGCAAGGTGGACGAAGAGGCACTCCCAGAAGGGGAGGAACCAGTGGTCGCTCTAAAAGCGGAGGTCAAGAAACCAGCGGAACCGTTTGTGGTTCCAACAGCGGGGCCCTTCTACATGCACGACGACCGCTTCGGTGGGGAGGAGACCAAGAGGTGTGGTGCCCCTCTTTTGACATCCTTCCTGATACATTCGGAGTCACTTTTCAGACGTGCTCAAAAGCTCGTCTGGTTTTGACGAGTGTCCAGGCAGGATCTCCTTGCAGTATGATGCTTTCATTATTCTTGGTTAATTTGCTTGTGAAATCATCTCACTTTGCTTTGTAGGTCTTCGTCTCATCTTGATGCATCGCAAATGGTTTCTGGTGATTGCTCTGGATTGGGTGCAAGCCAAGTCTTGTTTGTAGCTGAGGTGCCATTGTACGTGCAGGCCTGGCAAGGGCAAGAAGCTGTGGGAAGGATCCGCAGACTCCACTGACCGGTGGCCCCACGACATGTTTGAGAAGCTGAACCTGGCTAATGACCCCCCACCTCTGAGGGTGAGATGCATTGCACTGTTTCTTCCTGAGCCGGCGGGGGGTCAGCCGATTAGAGATTGTTGACATACATAGCAGTGACGTGCTTGCAAGCCCACTCTGTCTTGCATCTTTGAGTGTATGTGAGATCAGCATAAACAATTTCAGAATTGGTACCTCTCTTTTGCTAGCTTCCTCTGATCTGGCTTGACTGGTTTGCTCTGTCTGCAGCGGGGTGACGGTGAGCAAGGCAGGGGCCGCCGGAGAGGCGGCGGGTATGATCGAGGCGGAAGGGGGGAAGGTGCCAGCTATGGGGGCGCGCGAGGCGGTAGGGGCGGGGGCAGGGGTTTCAGGAACGGCCCAGAGGGAGGAAGGCGCAACTTTGTGGCCATGCAGAGCGCTCCTGGGTGAGTAGTCCTGTTTCATTTTGGTGCAGCATGAGCAGGTGGTGTTAAGTGACGACCTTTTGAACGTCTTGCCTAGATGCAGATTGTCGGGAAATTCATTGGTTCATTGGTGGCAAGTAGATTGCCAGATCATGTCTGCTGCGAGCAGCATTGGAGTCGACATGCTGAGATTGCTGTGCTTACGCGGTGTGTTAACAGATTTTTAAACGAGTTGTATTGTAATCTTTGCAGAGGCCAGCCGCAGTCAGACCCCGCCCTTTTGCCCACCCCTGAGTACAACCTCGAGTTGCTCCAGGAGTTCCCCCCTCCCCAGTCCACCGCCCAGAACTGGGGCGGTCAGCCGGCTGCTTCCAGGCAAGCGACCTCAAACGGGAGCTCAGACTACAGCAACACCCGGGACCAGGGTGGTGGTCAGAACGCGAGGGGCAATTACTCAAGGGGGCAGAAAGCGACCCCTGCTTGGGCGGACAGTGTGCCAGGGGCGGCCACTGGCTGGGGCGACGAAGGGCAGGAAAGGGGCCCGGTAGCCACCAACCGTGGGAGGGGGGGTGGGAGGAGCACTGGGGACGGGCAGGTGGGGAGAGGGGCAGGGGCGGGGCGGGGGGAGCACAGGTCCCGCGCACCGCAGGGACAAGGTCCTCTCACGAGTGGCGACGGGCCAAGCGCTGCAAGGGGCCGCACCCCGACCAGATGGGGTCCTGCCGTCGGAGGGCAGCAGCCTGTTGAAGTTCAGGGGGCTCAAGCAGGGTACAACCGCGGGGGTGGTCAACCGACGGGGTGGGACAACCGTTCGGCGGTTGGGAACCAGGAGAGGGGCGCAGGGGCCCCCCAGGGGAGAAGCGCAACGGTGGGCACGATGACGTCACCCCGGCCCCTGGACCAGATGGCCCCCCGGGAAGAGAAGCGGCAGCAGTACCAGCCGTCAGAGGCACGCCCCGCTGCCCGGAGGGAGATTGAAGTCCAGACCGACCTGGCACCGGAAGTCAGCCCAGGCTCCCGTAATGCTGCGACTACTCCTCGGGGGGGTGCCGCAAAGTCGGGGCCGCCACCAGGGTTTGGCGGGAACTCAGGGAGCGCAGCCTACGGCTCAAGCGGCGCAGGGGCCGGGGACTACGGCGCGCAGTATCGGCCGCCTGCGAGTGCGGGGGCAACTGGACGGGCCTCTCCCGGTCTGCACATGGCCAATGAGTACGTCCCGAACGCGGCCACACAGCAGGTGCTGCCTTATGGGCAGACAGCAGTGCCTCCGGTGGGGGGTTACGGCTTGCCTCCTTACCCTAGCCACCTGCCGCCGTACGCTTACGGGAGCGGTGACGTCACATGGGTCCCCGTGCTGAACAACCCGCAGGCAAATGCTCTGCCCCCACCGCCAAATGTGTACGGCGCAAACCCGTATGCGAGCCCGTACTCATTGGCCGGGGCAGAAGCGACCCCGTATATGTACTCGTCACAGGCAGTTGCTCCCCCAGAGTATGCTCCCGCCAAGCAGGGCCTTGCAACGGTTGCAGCCATCAGTAGGCCGCCCTCTGCAAGCACGCTGTGGAGACCACCGGCGTCCGCAGGGTTGAGTACTGGGGTTTTGGATTCGAATGCAGATGCTTATGGACAGCGGCAGAGCAAACCGAGAAGGTATACGGAGATGACCTTCCAGTAGTGAACAAGAGGAGGTTTTTGGTGGCGTCAGCTTGCAGGCAGGGAAGCAAAGGCAACCGCTTGAGAATTCAGGTTCTTAATCTTTTGATGTCTGGCTTGGGTATGGTTTGAAGAAGAAGTCATTGTTGTTCGGCGGTTGACTCATTGTTCTAGTAGCCCGGTAAGAGGAATAACGATTATGGGCGCACCTTTTATGATCAATCGTTTTTCGTGTGCTGCCATGATTGACCAGTCCTTTATTTAAGAAGCATGCCAGCCAATTAGGATCATGTCGAGTCAGGCCGACAGGCAATTACTGTGCACGGTGTGTTGCAAGAATGACTGAGATACTACAGCGCGGCCTAGTAGCGGCCCGTCGCCAGTGTATCAACGATTTTGATTCCGACCTTTTCGCGTGTATTGCTTGATCACTGGGACGCCCTTACTTCAAGGTCGACACATTCAACGTCATGTGCATTGCCAGGCGACTGTCAGAATACCATATGTACCGGATGCAGCTCAGAGTTACTCAGTGGCAATAGCAGTGCAATATGTGCGCAGCAGATATATTGCGCAACCCGGCCCTGGACTCAATTGCACACGTTCAGTGTATACTGCAAAGCTTAGTCAATTAACACTGTATGGCACTCAGTCCGACGTACATGGCATTTGCAACATTAGTTAAATCTAATGCACATATATATGGTCAGGCCGAAATTTGGCCAATTCTTCGAGAACAGACACGCGAGCGCGCGCGCTGCATGACATCGTAGTCACTAGGACGGTCTAGTGACATGCATGAATTATTTGTTCAATGCAATGCGACTATAGTATTGATTATATTGCAGCACTGCAGGTAAAAGACGTGATTTTGTTATTTTTCATCGCGAGTTCGATTAAATTATTGAAGCAGGTCGAGGATCATGCATTTCGAGGATCCCTTGCTAGTTGGTGGCCATGGGCCGCACTGTTGTATCGAAATCGAATTCAGGTACATTTCGATCACTGGAGCCTCGGAGTCAACTCGCTAGTCTCGCAATGCTTCAAATGTTCAACAACTCGTTCAATTCATTTTGCATGGTCCATCAGGCTGCATGACCTTGTACTCTTCGCTTCCTCAAAGACTCCTGTCGTATCTAAAAGATTTGTCAGATAAGTCTCAAGTAACTTTCCTCAACTCACAGAAAACCAACAGATATTGTTTGATTTGACTTGCAATGCCAACCCCAGTATAGTCATAAAACAACAACGATAAACGCTGCTCGATAGCGTCAAGAATCAAGAATTGTCCTGTAGAAACGTGCTTAGATTTGTTATTGACTAGATTAGTATCTCTTTACAATGCTGACTTCATCTACCAACTATGCAACACGTTTGACGCTGAAACATATATAAGGTAAAAGGATGGAAGATAAATATCGGTAATCAAAAGCAACGTTGGCAGCTCATGCTGCGTTTTGTTCGCAAACCAATACCCCAGCCCGCGTCAGTGTCCCCCCTGGATCTGGTTGATGCTGTCGTCTGCTTTGTCAAGCAAACCTTGAATCTCCAGGATAAAGTGGGCGCCCGTGTCTCCCCGTTGCTCCACATCGATAGCCAGCGTTGCCTCGATCTTGTTTTTTACGGTTACGTACTTGTCCTTTGCCGTTAGGTACGTCTGGACTTGCTTCTCAGGCTGCAAGCGAGAACTTTGATTCAAAAAAATCGAGTCAAAAGACAGGCGCTTGCAGAATTTGACGCGCATTTGCCAGCATATCAGTGGAGCGTGGCTCAGATGTCCGTTCTCATCTGTCCGTTGTGGCTCCCTCCCCTCCAGAAGAACACCCCCATGCCGCACTGCACTGTGGAAAAACTTCAAGTGCTGCGGCACAATCGAGATGGACGCTCCAATCTTTCACATGCCTTCTCTCTAGGGGCGCCTTTGAGCAACCTACACTTCGCAGTCCTACACACATGTTCAGAAACGATGAAACTTCGGTCATGCAGAAGGGGATGGACTCGGGGCCCTCACGTTGAGGCTTGTGTGCAGAGCAGTCAGGATGGTTAGCACGAGGCTCATGGCGGCGGCCGCGTAAGAGAGAGCGGGCGTGTCCTTGACCAGTGCCGAAAGGCTGGAGCTGGCAGTAGTCATGGCCCCTAGAATAGTTGCAGGGATCACAAGAGCCCGCCCGAGCGTCCCCTGCGTTGAAAGAGCAGGGTTTCAATGGAGACAGTCAGATGAAAGCTGTGTGATCCAACCCACAAAGATTGGTGGCTGGGCAGATTGTTACAGTGTCATCGATTGAACTTCGAAGTAAGAGGTGACAAGATCAAGGTGTTCAAATGCAGGCCGGTTGCGGACAACGATGCAATTTGGAGCGGCGTACAAATCGAAAGCTGGTGACGGCTGGTGACATCTGGAAAGATGTCGCATCATGGACAAGATTCCCACCAGAGTGCGCGAGATGACCCGCCTGATTTGAGGAACTTCGTGCTCCACCTCTCAACTCCGTAAATGAACGGGCACCTTTTGAGCTTCAGGAGCGCCATGCTCAGGTTGTGGTCCCACCTGCTGCCTGGCTTGAGCATCGCAGTCTTTGATCTTGGTGGCCACTTCCAGCTTCCAGTCCTGCAGCACCTTCTCATTCTTCTCGCTCCAGTCCCGCGATGGCTGGTGCTCCAGCTGGGGCGACGCTGCCAGCAGCGCCACATCGCCTGCGGCCTTGAACTCCCTCTTCAGTTCCGCCTTCGCTGCGTCGTAGAATGGGGCAACGGTCATTGCAGAGAGTGGGGCCAAGCAGACGGGTACTTTCAAAGAGCCAATTCCGAACAGAGTCCCCCAGACCGTCAGCCTTCCATAAGAATCCTTTTGCTGGGACTATACTCTGAAAGTGCCAGGTGTTGGAATGCGCTGTTGTCCCCCGCCTCACAAGAAGACAATTTCTCTTTTAATGATACTTGATGTCGAGAGTGCGATAAGAGCGTATCAGCCATCTTTTTCTGCTAGGACTCCTGCTTTTGAAGCTTTGCCCTGCACGCTCATCCCAGCTGTCCGCTCACGCTTGCCAGCGGCCTTCACAGGCTCCTTTGCTTGCGCTGCAGGCTCCTCCTCAACCTCTGGCGCGGCTGCCTTTTGGGCAGGCGCCTTCTTCGCCGGCTTTGCCTCCTCCACATCCTCGGTGGCGCCCTGCTCCACATCAGCCACCTCCTGCTCATCGGCCGCCGCCTTCTTTACGGACTTGCCCGTTTTGGACTTTTTTGTCACTGGAAAAGAAAAGAGTTCATTTTGCCCAGGTGGAATGACAAGGTGGCACCTGGACTGCGTGTGACTGAAATGGTCACAGGCAGGAACGAGAGTGCAATGTGGTCAGAGTGGGAGGCAATTCTGAGATTCTGCAACCTGCATTGTGCCTTTCTATGATGGTTATCCTAGCCTGGTTGACTGGCCCGAGGAGGTCCTGCACCTAGGGTAATGTATCAGCCACAATGTCTCCTCAGCATTCCATGGCATCTGACAAGAAGCTCCTTGATCCTGAGACAAGCTCTTGGCAACAGAGAAACTTTCTTCATACTGAACCAATTTGCGATGTATCAGAAAAGGATCAGCACTCATCAATTCCAGGTTGACCAGAAGTAGGTGCAGTTCAATCTATGTGATAATGGTAGTCAAAAGGCAGGGCGACAATGCTGAACAATGATGAATTGACCATGGGTTCTGATACATTAGTACCGTAGCTCCAGACCTTAAAACTGCCTACTTGTAGACCAGCTTATCCAGATCAGTTTTTTCAACAAGGACACGCCTCTCTTCTGGATTCAAAAATCTGCATTGATTTATCGATGGGGCTTTCAAGAATTTCGATCAGCTATTCAATGTGCCAATGTGATCGTAGCGAACTTAATGGATAGTGAACCCCTGTATGCCTGATTGGATTATTTTGGGCACAAGGCAATGAGCTGTGCTTCTGCTGCACCTAAAAGCCACTCCAGAAGTGGAATCTCAGCATTCCAAGAAGCTGCACTGGCCTACGTTGGCAATAAGGGTACCAAAATTGCAAAAATCCAAGTGGCTGCAAAACGTTTTGTCCTCAAAATTTTGCCATTTGTAGAAAGTTCAGAAACAGAGTCAGTGCGCCAGTCTGATCTGAAGGCAAAGCAATCAGATTCACACATTGATGCCCAGCTGATCCGATAGCAAACTTTCATCTGCCCCGCACATATTGTGGAAGAATGTCCTGCTAAAGTTTAATGGCAGACGGGTGACTAATGGACACGTTGTTACAGCCAGCCCGCTCACCCTTCTTCACTTCCTGCTCATCGTCCACGTCTTTTCCATTCGCTTTCTCGAGAAGAGGCTGCTTCAGGGCCTTCTCGGGACCCATGCTTGCTGCCAATGCAGGCTACACTTGCCGCTGATTAGAATCTTGGAAGCAAGCAATCTGGCCTTCAAAGGAACTTCAAGGAAGGCAAGAAATGGAGACGACGGTCAGCATTGGAGCATGACTCTGAGGGAGTCAGCCGGTAGGTATAGCCATTCTGGCCCCCCCCCTCTTGGGGTTCAGGTATATAAAACCTTCATGCACGATATGTACCGGTTGTTTAGGTATATTCTATCGGTCAAGGTCCGGACAACGGGTAGGGTTAATTAGGTGCGGGTTGCGGGTGGTTATGGCTGTGGAGCGCGTAGGTTTTCTGGTTAAGGACCAGGTAGGTTTCTTTTTCCTACCCCCGAGGACTAGGTATTTTCCATTTCCTCCCGGCCAATGTCTCTAACCTTAGGGGTTTAATGTTAACCTGAACTGTAGGAGTATCTGGGGGGGCCTGGGCCGATGCGACGCCAGCCGGCCGGCAGAGGTTCCGACTCGGAATCCGAATCCTGAGTCTACGTCACAGTAGGTAATTGCGCACAGTACACCTGCGCGGATTACCTCTTCCGGTTTTGAATTGGCCGGTACACCTTCTCCCGATCGCCCTCGTGCCCACAGCTAGCTGGGATAGTATCAATCCAGGCCGGCCTGGATCCAGGCCCGCAATCTCCGGATGGTCCAGGCCGTCGATAACACGGTCCTACCGAGTTCCGACAGCCTCAGGCTAAAAGTCTCAGCCTCACAACCGTGCCCCGGTTCCCGGGACTGGCTATGTGTGCCCGCGGAGGACGTACTACCAATCAATCAATCAATTTATTTTATAGTCCCGTAGGAGCCATGGGTGGCTCATGAGACAAGGTCTGAATGTAGTCTCGAGTCCTAAACGCCTCTCTAACAAAGCTAGCAACCCTCTGTTGGTTCTCCTGACCTATAAAATGACGCAGACTAAATGCGGACTGGCCAAC